TTTTGGTGTGGTAAAAGTATAGACAAGGCCGGTTTCTGATACAACCAAGAGAAGTACTTGTGTGCCGGTTAATGTACTTAATTCGTATGCCTTTAACGATAGTAATAATGATGATTGATAATAGAAAAGGAATTAATTGATTAATTAGTGATGGTGATGGTGATGATGTTGAATGATGAGCGGTTGCTGATTCATTGATAAAAGAAAAACTGGATTTCACGACTCACTTTTTTCATTATACCAGCCTTTCGTTTACTAAAAGTAATATGACGTCTGCTTTTGTCATCAATATATTCAATCTTAATCTTGCGACGTCCAGCACGTTTTTCAGGTTTTTCGTCATCGTCAGCGTCCGACTCGTCTTCGTCGAGCTCACGTTTATTAGATCTTGAAGAGACTTGTTCGCCCAAGTCTCCCGCGTGCCCAACACCACTGGCGTTGCTCGGTTTTCGTTGTGGAGTAGTAGCAATATTACTCATTTTTGCAGTTTTGAATTATGTGTTGTGTGACGAGGATAACTGAGAAAGCCGTATAGTTGTAATTGTAAAATGAATGGGGGGGGGTTTTTAATAGAGGGGAAATGGGATTCCAAGAAATGTCGAGAAAGTTGGTTGTTTGTAAATTGGGATAGAACAAGAATGAAAACAAACAAGTTATTAGTAAAACGTCACTTTTTACAGATATGTATGCGTGTTAATTTTTCTTTAACTGAGTTTGGGAATTGGGAATTAGTTAATTTTTTGACGTTTGCCAAACAGAGTAGCAAACAAAGTGGAGTAGTTACCAAAAGCGTCCACCAAGAAAAAAGCTTAAATTTATTTAAGTACCTTTTGTGTTTTTATCGTTGACTATGTTTTTTGCTGTGGTGGTGGTGGTGGTGGTAGTGTTGTTGTTGCTGTTGTTGTTGTTGTTGTTGTGTCCCACTCTTCCTTTTTTTTCCTTTTTCTCGGAGAAGGGAAAGGTGCAAATAGTGAGCGTGCAGAATTCTTCTTTCTTGCTCTACAATAGACTTTCGAATAGAGAAATTCGTAAACTGCAATAGTGATAGAATAGTGATGGTAATAATATCAGATTTAGAACTAATACCAAAACTAATAATAATGATTAAAAATTTTTTATGATAATTGATGGTAGAAAAAGGTTAATATTATTACCACTTACATATAAGTAAGTAACAGTAACCGACCACTACCCAAAAAAAATTCGAGAAGCAGTGGCGATAAAGTTAATTTTGAAATTTTTTTTTTGAATAGGTAGTTAGGCTTGAACAAAAAAGGGACGATGGGGAAACAAAAACAGGACAGAAAAGGACGTCGGATTTTATATGATATCCAAAAGCGGGTATTGGTGATTTACTCTCATAGTTAAGTCTAAGATTTACCTAAAAATTGTTTTACAATAGGATCTGCGTTTTTTTATGTAATATAGAGATATAGAGATATATATATATATATATACATCTGTATAATATCTGTATATGTATGTATATATATATATATAGTATTTAATATTTATATATACCTATATATATATTTTAAGAAGAATATGATGATGATTGACCACTTGAAACATGAACACAAAAACGCCGCCCAAAACCTGTTGTTTTCAAGAATTGAAACGGGGATGGCTGTTGTGGTCTCCGAGCAAGTGGCCGCTTCGTTTAACAATCCAAATATAGTAATCACCCAGGTCAATTCTTTTTATCACATTGGCCACACAAAGAATAATATATGTTTAAAGTTATTTATTTTTTTTATTTATGTACATGCTCTTTAATTTTAATGTTTTTCCATAAAAAAAAACACACACATACACAGAGAAAAAACAATAATAAGATTAGGGTTTCACATAAACACGACACGCAAAAGTGTTGAGGGAACATTAGATGAACACACTCTCCCGACTTGATACGATCGATTATTCATTTCAAAATGAAATTTTTCTTTTTCGCTCAAGCGTTTAATTTCTCATCCTATCTCTTTATCCATCTATCTCCGACTTTTCTCTGAAATGAACAGAATGATTGGGATTGTTGCATTCATTACCAGTTAAGGTTGAATAAATTAGCGATGTGCTGTTGCTGCTTAAAACAAAAAGAGTAGAAGCCACGTACTACGTCTTTTGATCTTCTCTAAAGAAAAAGATAAACACAGAGGATGCAAACATATCGCACAGTGCATATAATATGCAAACATTAATAGACAATTCATTTTGTTCACCGTATTCTTTTTTCGTTTAATCCAGGTTAACATTTACTTCACACACAGAGACGATAGACGTCTATTCACACACACAAAAACACGCACACACACACACACACAACAGTCTCGGCCTT